AGCTGAACAGTGTTTGCCACCCTGCCATGAAGAAAGTGTTCCTGGCCCTGGCCTAGGTCATTGTTTGCATAGTAATAATAACAATATCAATTGATTGCTATGTGCCCAGCTTTGGGTTTATCACTGTATATATATTCTCTAGATTTAAACACTATAATACCACCATGAGGTTGGTTTCATTACTATCCCTATTTGAACATGAAGAAATTAAAGACTGGAGAACTAAAGTAACTCATCTAAAATCCTATAGCTATCAGCAGAACTAGAATTCAAACCAAGTTGATCGTAATTGAGAACCTATTTTCTTTACCTCTACTATATTAGTGGAATATTCTCATGGACTTCTAAGTCCCACCTAAATGGAGGAAATATTAATCATGATTCGGTCTACCTTCTACTAAAACCCTACTCCTAGAGGCAGGGATGGGTTTTTGAATCACATTTTTATAAACTGCATAAGTATACCTCAATGTTCATTATAATGATACCATGATATCTAATAAGAATGCCTACAGTTTCACACTGACTTCATTGAAAATTGATTTTTACCCTCACATATAACCCCTTGCTTAAGATTGTTGAAAACCCCCTGGATTATAGGAAAACAATAATTAAGAATCCCTGCTCTACTACATTGTACTGTAATTATGAGAGTGGGTGTGAGAGTGAAGGGAGAAGGATTCAATCAGAATTACATGGCCTTGTTAAAAAAGGATTTAATGTCAAACCTGCCTGGGTTAATTTGTCTTTTGCCTTTGATCTCCAGAACTAGCTTTATCACCCACATTGATAGGTCTAGTACGGCCACAGTAAGGTCATCCATAGTTGATAGATAACTTGGTTACAAACCAGATCTAGGTGATGGACAGATTGATGGACTCAAACACTATATATGGAAACAACCTGACAAAGGGGCTTGGTTCTATCTGGGAATTTTCTACTCCCCAAAGGAGGTAAAAAGATGAAACAACCCCCTCCCCAAGAATGAGGATCTGAGAACTGAAGTTGAACTCTCATTTGCAAGCCTAACCCCCCCTCCTCTCACTGCAGATTGGGCCTGTCAATCATGAGATGTGAATTTTTATGATGATGGAAAGAGGTAAATATGGAGCCATTTGTGGAATGTATAGAGAACCTTAAGCTATATATGAATTTCTGAAAATATGTTCTCTTTAAGCTCAGCTTATAATGGCTCAACTCAATAAAATCACTTCTAAATTGGGCCAGCAAGACAGGCAGTTGCCTATTACACTCCCAATAGTTGTAGTTATTAAAGAGCACTGCTAGGTGAGGGGAGGTGGTAGGAAAAGGGGAGGGAAGGTTCCATTGTGTCAATGACAGTGTCAAATACTGCCAGGAGCTAGTCCTGGGAAAAGCAGACACTCAAAAAATGTCTAAAACAAATAAACAAAATCTGCCAAACATCCCCTTGAAATATGCCAGTTTAAATAAAATCACATTCTTTACTTTCTGCCTGAATTTTAAAGTGCCCTATCTGGGAAAATCAGCAAGTATAGACTAGCATGATGGCCACTGAGGTCAAGGTACTCTTTATTCCTTCATTTCAGTACTGGTCCTAAAACACAATGGCCAGTATGTGATCAGCATATAGACATAGATGACTGGGAAGACGTGTTATTTTAAAATGGTTTCTACCACTGTGTTTCCAAGAAACAATACTTTCCTCGTTAAAACAGTGGCTGCAATGCCACACTTTTATCACTTTCTCCTTCCCTCTCAACTCTACTCTTAGAGCCTATTCAAGAAAACTAATACATAAAGTTATGATATTAATCCTGGTGACTGTTAGGTAAAAGAACTCCTCCTTTGACGTTTATCAGGCACTGTTACATCCTCGACACACATCTGTAAGAATAATGCTTTCCCATGTTCCCCATGGGTATGAAATGATCAAACCCTCACACTGTTGCAGGGGATGTAAAATGGTGTTATACAAGAAGTGTAACTATCTCCATTTTCTGCCCAATTGGGAATCCAGTGAAAATTAGCCTTTCCACAAAACAAAAAGTGTAATAAAATACCCCTTCCTATCACAACAGGGGAGAGAACAAAAAGACAGCAGGCAGAAAGAACTCAGGAAAAACCCCAGAATATTGTAGCATTCTGTTGAAAGAGAAAAAGAAACCTTTTCCAGCTTAATAAGGAAAAAGCACAGACATTTTTTTCAGGACACACTGAAGGGAAGCAAAAACTCCTAACATGAAAAGAAAGCAAAGCAGTTTGCACAGAAAGTAATAAAAGTGCTCTAATGTGAAAAAAAAAAAAAAAAAAAAAGTCATCCCAGGGTGAACCAGGAAAAGGTAAGCCCAACATGAAACTCAGAAAAGAGGATCTAAAGAAAGTTAACAATAAAATAAAAGACAGACAGGAAGGTTTCAGGTCAACTTAACGGCTTGGACACATGTATTTATCTCTCCCTCTCACCAATCCATACTAAAATAATAATAAAGTTACAACCCATAATAGCAAACAATGAGTAAGGTGAACACTGCAGACACTCAAAAACTGGAGACCGAGGTTCAAACTGGTGCTAAAAATGAAATGATTAGTTAGAGTGGGTTTAAGGAAGAGGTCTTTTCACCTAGACTCTTCAAGCCAAGTGTGTAGCCCTCCCCAGTCCCAGCAGAAGTTTATTCTCTGAGGAGGTTGAATCAGAGAATTCAACAAGAACTGGGACACTAGACGTGGCTATCAGGGTGAAGGGTCATCGTGGTGAATGAAAACAAAGAACAAAAAGTGTGCACAGAGAACTGAAAAGGCCTCAGTTTCTTCTTGATCATTTCAGAATAATGGAAGCTTAGTTTATATGTCTAAAAAATAGATTGGTAAATCCATGTTGGAAGAACTACCCAGCCAAGAAAGAAAAAAAGAAAAAAAAAAATCCAAGCCAGGATACAGTGACATTTGAGAGTATTCCTATGAAATAACTAGGTCTTCTCCAGTGGTCTCTATGCTAAAGCCCACCAGTTGACAAGCCATGCAGGCACAGAGAGCTACCAATCAACTTTTTAGCACATAACTCATAATATGAATGGACAGCCAACAGTTCTCTCCCAACAGGCATGACATAAACCCACCAAAAATCTCAACAGGCAAGGCAGAGACCAAAACAAACAAAAACAAAAAACTCAAAGGAAACTCACAGATAATTTAGAGAGTATATAAAAGAAAAAAAAAAATTTCCCAAAGCCACATTTAGTATGCTCAGAAACATATGAAGTGATATATTATTCATTAAAAAAGAACAGAATGATTTTTTAAAAGAACATTCAAAGAATAAGAAAGAGCTTGTGGAAATAAATGTTAGCATAATTAAAAATGTAATTGAAGGGGTAGAAATTAAAGTTTAAAATACACCCAGAAATCAGGAAAAAAGATTTTAAATAATATGGGAAAGATAAGGAAATTAGAAGATCGATATCATAGCGCCAACAACCCTCTAAATAAAAAAATTTTAAAGAGTAGATTAAAAGGAAAAATTAAATAATAAAAGAATATTTGCTGAAACTGAAAGAAACTAATTTCAAAATTGAAAAGACCCACTGAATATCAAGAAAAAGGTCTACACCAGGGATAGAAAGTCCTAGAAGGTTACACAAAGGAAAAAAGATAAAGAATGGATTAGGAATCAGAATAGTCTAGGGCTTTCAATAACATAGCAGAATCTAGAAAACAACAATACAAGGCCTTCAAAATTCTAAGAAAAAGTTATTTTCTAAACTAGAATCATATACCCAGCCAGATTATTAATCAAGTAATCAATTATGAATAAAACCATAGTCATATGTGCAAACCTCCCATCACCCTTTCTCAAGGAGCTACTGGAGAATAAGCTTCTACAAAGCAATGAAATAAGCCAAGAACAAGAAAGACGTGTGACCCAGAGAATAAGTAACAAAAAAATAAGGTAAATAAAATTCTCAAGAAGATAGTGAGAGGAAGTATTATGACTATAGGCTTGAAGATGAACCAATCCAGATTAATTTAGAACTATAGAGAACTTCAAGGGTAGAGAAAAACTGATAGACTGCCTCCTTCTGATTTGTTTTAGGGCATTTTATAGTTTTGTCACACATTAATAGTTCTAGGCCTCAATTTGTGATTAAAACTATATTAATTATAGTAATCATGAACAAATAAAGAGGAGGCAATTTCAACTAGGAAAATCATAACGTCGTGAAAGGAAGGAAATTTCATCATAGTACACTATGTGGCTTCACTATCAACATTATTTACACTATCATAAGATTATAAATATTATATATTAATTTAAGCCAAAAAGTAGAAAAATGTATTTGGGAATAGATATACAACCCAGAAAATTCTCTCTTGATGTGTTTCTTTGTATCCAGTAAATTACTAATTATATCTTAAGTCTATGTCCCTCCAACACTTCTTTCTGGACATTCTCTTTCCTTTGGCCTTGTGGAATCTACCCTGCACAGAATTCTACTCCAGCATTTTCTATTCAGCACAGGGCTTTGTTCTGGAAAGATACTTCAATTTGTCATTTTAGAGCAATCACAGAAGGAAGACTAGCCAACTACTCCCCAGCAAACTGGAATAATACAAGTGAACAAATTTTGACATTTATTCCAATATGAAATTTTTTGTGAATTTGCATATTTCACAATTAACCTTGTTACCCACACTGGAAAGTTCAATAACCTCTCCAAGGGTTTGCAATAAAAGGATTTTTAATTATAAACTCCTCTAGTGAGAAACAATTAAAAAACATGATTTTTTTCCAAAAATAGGTTGAATCATTTCATTCATTTGCTTGCTAGGTGCTTATGAATAAGGAGTCCGTATATAGCTTTCTCTTTCTCTCTCTCTTCTAAAACATTAAACCACCGTGGGAGAGAATGCATAATAACACACTGATAAAGCCACTTGCTGTCTTCCAGCACAGCATGCAACTGTTATAAGAGGGATATTCCTTCTGTTCACCCTGTGGTAAACAAGAAGCCTGCACTTACCGAGCTGGGGCTGGAGTGCCGCCTAACTTTAGGAGACTCTTTGCCAGCAGAGGAGGTCTTAAAGTTAATGCAAGCATTGTTCTCAGAATGCACCCTCTTTACTTGATTAGCTGGTTTCTCAAATGGGTCAAAAGTGCTCTGTGTCCTCTGAACTCTGACTTTTTTATCCTCAGGAATTGTGTCCAGGGGTTTGATCACTGAGTCCATTCCCTGGCAGTTCCGTGTAGACATCTTTGTGACACATATCTGTGGGAAAAAATAATAGAAATTAAATTCAGAACTCTGCACTGAAACTTTAATATCACTAAACATGCTGATTTATTACTCTAGAAAGTGTGCCAATTTCAATTTCAGGAAATACCCAAAAAGCCCACTTTCTAAAAGCTACATCAGCTTCAATCGCAGTATAAAAAATTCCCCATAATCAGTCTGTTTATACTTGCTTAGAGCTTACACTAAAAAGTCTATTATCCCTAAAATACGAGACTTGAGGCCTAGACTGCTAGTACACAGGTTCTTGACCTGTGTCACGTGCTTTACCATCTGACTGCAAGTGGACTACTTCTCATTAAGGAGTTGGATAACTTGCCTTAATTTAAAAAGAAACAGAGGCCAGGCGCAGCGATTCACGCCTGTAATCCTAGCACTCTGGGAGGCCCAGGCGGGAGGATCACTCAAGGTCAGGAGTTCGAAACCAGCCAGAGCAAGAGCGAGACCCCCGTCTCTACTATAAATAGAAAGATATTAATTGGCCAACTAAAAATATATATAGAAAAAAAATTAGCCAAGCATGGTGGCACATGCCTGTAGTCCCAGCTACTCGGGAGGCTGAGGTAGTAGGATCACTTGAGCCCAGGAGTTTGAGGTTGCTGTGAGCTAGGCTGACACCATGGCACTCTAGCCCAGGCAACACAGTGAGACTCTGTCTCAAAATAATAAAAAATTAAAAAATAATAAAAAGAAACAAAACAAAAAACTGTTGGTTTGAATCAGATAGGCACTTTAACTGATGGGTCATCGTGGAAGCAGCTAACACAGCTAGAGGAAAAAAGGCATTATGTTGTTTAAAAGTTTTATGCCTGAATATACATGTTTAAAATCTGTCCCCATCATGATTTCATCTCCAAATTGGAATGGAGCTAAAGGTTAAAGGCACTGAAGAACTGGGGGCAATAGTGGCGTTTTTTTAATTCCAAAGCTAATGGATAAAAAGGAATAATACTGCAAAAGAAAAACACTGAAAAACACTCATTTCAAAATTCTGTTTATATCACTCCACTAGACCTCTACTTCCTGCCCTTCCCTTCCCTTCTTCATTCATTCTCTTCCAGCACAGCCTGCCCCTCCCTCAGTTTATTTTAGTCTCTGACTTTTGCTTCTTGTTTTTACTTTGTATTCTAACCCTTTCTTTCATTCTCCCTATACTCTAGAGACTTTGTTGTCCTTATTTAATAACTTTATGGCCTCCAGCTTGTCTGTAAAGCTAGGTAATTTTATTATTCTCTCTAAAGAAAAAGATAACTCTAAATAAAATTGCTTTTAGAATTTCTTTTCTTCTTGTATAAAGTTTCCACATTCCTATATGCCACCAAAAGCAGAGAAACAGAAGACATTTATGAAAAAGCCTACATTATTACAGTAAAAATATAAAGTTTTTAAGTATATATTTTTGATCTGTTACTGGTTGAATCTGTGGATGCAGAACTCGCAAGACATGGAGGGATGATTGTAATACTTACAGGATGATTCCACGTGGGGAATAAATATATCTATGCATATGGATAGATATGGGTTTACAGATATACATACAGATACAGATATTTGTATGTGTGTATGAGCACAGTGAAAAGTACAGAAGGAAACACAACAAACTGTTCACATCAGATACCTCCAGATATGTGGAATTGTATGGGTAAAGGGTGAAATTAGCAATATTTGCACACCCTGTATCGTGTGAATTATATAATGAAGACACTAAAGTAGGAAAGTATATATAATCAAGCTAAGCTCTCTCAAGTTTTTAAAACAAAAAAAGCTTTTAATTAAATATTAAGTATCAACTCTGTTCTAAGAGTATGTCTCAAATACTAATTAAGTCAAAGAATACCTTTTAGCATACCATGTCATACTTTTTAGCACACCACAAAACTACTGAAGATGATTTTTATAGACTCAAGGCAGAATCCTCTACTCATGATCAAAAAGCAATAACTTATCACAAGCAGGTTATAGGCACACAATATTTTTAACGGCTTATGTGTTCTTTTTCCTTTTTTTTTTTTTTTTTGAGATGAGACCTAGCTGTGTCACCCAGGCAGGAGTGAAGTGGTGCAATCATAGCTCACTGCAGCCTCAAATTCCTGGACTCAAGCAGTCCTCTCAAGTAGCTGGGACTACAGGCATGTATCACTATGCCCAGCTAGATTTTTTTTTGTAGAGACAGGGGTCTCACTATGTTGCCCAGCTTGTCTCAAACTCATGGCCTCAAACGATCCTCCTACCTAGTCCTCTATAAAGTGCTGGGATTACAGGCACAAGACACCACATCATCTACATGTTCTTAAGGCTGTAAAAGCAGTAGATAAGAAACTACCCACATCACTTAGGCAATTAAATTATAAACACATGGCCCCCAGAAATAAACAAACCCCAAGCACCATAAATTTGAAGAAAAATACACAAGCGTACATGGAAAGCAAATTGTTTAAAACCAACAGAGAGAAAAAAAGTAAAATATGAAATACTTGACAACTAAATAATGCAAAAAGGCAATTAGAAAGCATCTTGGACTAAATGAAAATAATAATATAAAAGATGAAAATGGTGAGATGCAGGTAAGGAAAATTTATAACACTTTTCTATGTACATAGAAAAGAAGAAAGGTCTCAAAGCAATGACCTCAGCTTCCATCTTAAAATACTGAAGAAAAAAAAAAAAAAAAAGCAAACAAAACCCTAAAGTAAGCAGAAGACTGAAATAGTAAATAAATACCAGAGTGGAAATAAATTAAAATAAAATCAGAAAACAACAAAGAAAACCAATAAAACCAAAAGCTTATTTTCAGAGTCTTAAAAAAATAAATAAATAAATAAATAAATAAATAAATAAATAAACAAACCTCCAGCCAGACTGATAAGGAAAAAAAGGCTGAAAATATACATTGCCAATATCACTCTCAGGAATGGGAGCAGTGACACCACTACAGGATTTCCACAAATTTTATGAACAAAGTTATGCCAATAAATTTAGCAACTTAGATGAAACAAACTCCTTGAAAGAAAAAAACTCACTCATCAAAGCTTACTCAAGAAGAAATAAATAATCTGAATAGACCTATATCTATTAAAGAAATTGAATTTATGGTCAAAAACCTTGCCACAAATACAATCCTAGAGGTAGCACCACTGGTGGAAGTACATCAAACATTTAAGGAAAAAATAGCACAAATTCTACAGAAAACTCTTCCAAAATATCAATGAAGAGGAAATACTGCCCAACTCATTCTATGAGGCCAACATTATTCAAACACCAAAACCACACAGAAAATATTACAAGAAAACTACAGATCAATCTCTCTCATGAACATAGATGCAAAAAATTACTGGTACATTTTTAACAAGTTGAATTAAATAATATTAATATATTAAAAAGACAATAAATGATGAAAATGTAGTATTAATCCCAGGAATGCAAGGTTGGCTTACCATTTTAAAATGTGTAACTCACCATTTTAATATACAATGGTAGACAATCTAATTATGTTTTCCAATGACACCCACTTCTAAGTATTCACACTCTTGAGTGTGGGCTGCATTTGCTGACTTGTGTCTAATAAATAGAATATGGCAAAAATCATGGAATACCACTTCTGAGAAAACATTAAGAGACTGTTTCTTCTGTATTGGTGCTCTCTCCCTCACATTTCCTCTCTCTTAGATCACTAGCCTTGGGAAAAGCCAGCTGTCCTGTTTTGAGGCAGCCCCATGTAGAGGCACATGTGCAGAAGGACTAAGCCCTGCAAACAGCCACATGAGTCAAGCCTTCAAGACTAACCACAGTCCCAGCCTACAGCTTGGGACCAACCTCATGAGAAACCCTGAGCCAGACACAGCCAGCTAAGGAACATCTGTATCAGAGAGCCACAAAAATTGTAAAAGAAAAACGTTTGTTGTTTTAAAATGCTGTTATGGGAAAATTTGTCATGCAGCAATAGATAACTAATACACAGATTTTTTTTAAAAAGTCATTATGATCTCAATAGCCTCAGAAAAAGCATTTGACAAATTCACCATCCATTCATGATAAAAACTCTCAACAAACTAAAAACAGAACAAAACTTCTCAACCCTATACAGGGCATCTACAAAAAAATTATAGTTAATGTCATACAGGAGTAAGTAAGGTTGTCCACTTTCACCGCTTTGATTCAGCACTGTATTATAAGTTCTAGACAATGCAATAAAGCAAGAAAAATAAATAAAGTCATCCACATTGGAAAGAAATAAAACAGATTCTATTCATAGAAGTCATACATAAAGTCCAATGAAATCTAGTTTTTTAAAAAAGCCATTAGAGTTATTAAGTGATTTTTTATCAAAGGTGCAAGATACAAGAACATATACAAAAATCATTTGTGTTTCTGAATACTAGCAACAACAAACAGAAATTTGAATTTTAAAAAACACTATAATAGCATCAAACAATATAAAACATTTAGTGATAAATATGACAAAATATGTGCAAGAACTGTACACAGAAACTGAATCATGGCTGAGAGAAGCAAACACTAAGAGGAGGGCAAAAAAGAGAAGGACTAATTCATGGGTCTTGAAATTCACTGTGACACTTTCAGGAAGAAGCTAATCTCTGTGTTTCAGCCATTCGATATAAGTAGTTTCTTACTTAACTTAAGAAGAGATATATGTATGTAAGTCCAGTAAGGTAATAAATTTATATAAAATGATAAAAGTAGGGGTTCATTTGATACATGGATAATGGGAAAATGGTAGCTTGTTTGGACTCCATCCTTATCCTTGAAAGTCAGTACTTTCCATAAACATAAACCACACAAAACATCTCTTAGGTCTCTTAGTGAATATAGAGCTAATTTTGATATTAGATTCTATTTTCCATTTAAGGTCTTTAAACTGTATTAGGAAATTAAGACTTTATCAGATAGACAACTCTATTTTTTTCCGAACTTAAAATATATGGAAAAAATTTACAATAAAGTGTAACTTTGTAGTA